AGTGGACCTGAAAAATAAATACAGCATTGTAAATCACTGGTGACTTAGTAAGGCATTTTCACACTTTTTATTCTCAATTCTTTAAATGATAAATTTCAACTCAGGCCATACTCTAAAAGTGCTTTAATTTACTTCATAAATGAACTAGCAATCTCTTTATGATAGAAACTTACAGTGCCTGATGGTATAGTGCGCAACCTATAGCGTTCTAATCCAGAATGTATAAACTCCGTAGACAGTAGCTGTGGTCCACCACCTAAGAAGGATCGCCTTAATTCCTCTGCAAATGTCCCTGTCCATCAAAGGAGAAAAAAATTCTGAAGGGTGAAACTGATAATCCTCAGGAACAATGTTAGAAATAAAAGCTAAAAAGAAAAGTACCAAATGCCAGTATTCTGTTTTAATATACCTGCAGTTTATTTTTAAATCATCAATTCTGATATATATTTAAACAACTAATAAATGGAAATCATATTAGACTTAGGGTTGCCTTTTCAAAATCTTCCTTAAAGACAAAAACATTACCTGTCGGTCTCCAAGTAGGGCAGTCGACTGAGTGATGTCCAGGTCGACTTGGTACATGAATAATGCCATAACCACAGAGGTCAAAACGACCTAAATCATCTTGCCTGTAAACCTGAACCATTAGCCGTGGCCATCCTGGAGACAAAATGAACTATTACATATAACTCAGTGGTGAATAATACATTGTGCACTATTCTGGGAATATAATATATATCTATATATATATATATATATATATATATAGCAAGTGGAAACCATAACCTAGAAATGGCCAAAATGTTCAACACTAAAAAAAAAATAATTATAAAAAAAAAAAAAAAAAAAAAAAAGTAAAAAATTTACATTATACTATCATAAATATACAAATCTGATAATATTCATCTAGAACACATTCTACACAATACATTCATGGTGCATCTTACCCTGAATACCACGTGTAGCTAAATGAATATCAACAGGATGACACCAGCTGACTGTATCGCCAACCTCGGAGCAATCTGCTTGGGTCTGCCCTTCAGCCAGTCCTTCAATGACTCTCCACCCTCCACCTAGGAGTTACCATTTAAATATCTTTATAACCAATTACTTCAAATATCAAAATAGTACATCCTGTATACTGTTTCTAGTAGCTCTATGTTAATTTCTCTTACACACATTTTCAAAGGACAAAACCATAAATATCAACAATAGTTTAAAAAAGAAGAAGAGTTTGATCTTTCCAAAAGAAGATAAAAGAAAGGCAAGCTAAAATTTGAAATTCTCTTACCAAGCTGTAGAGTCCACTTGCAGAAAAGGGAACTTCTGCCAAATCCACTTGCTCCAGTAACCTGGCCTATCACATGGACTTCAGCCATAAGGCCTGATTCATTCTGACAGAAGATGAATACATCATTTATAGAAAAATAGACAATGAACATTGTCATGTTTTTGTGGATGGAACACTGGCTATCTATGATCTGACAATTCCTATTCTTATCATCATTTTGATACCTTTATAAAAAAAAAAATGTTACCCCTTTTGGGAGGATTGGAGTGGGGTAAAGCCCTGTAATAGAGAATTGACTGACAAATCATTATATTTCAGTGCATACTATAAGTCTGCTTTTATTTTCATTGACAATTTGACTACTGTACTTCATGCACTCCTTTATCATCAGGAATCTCATGGATAGGTAAAAAGACAGGCTTCCATGCATCAATTCCTATACATAATTATTCTTTGATTATATATATTACTTCTTTCATCAGTGTGTGCATTTATTTCTTTTCTATATGATTGTCTTTGGATTTTCTCAATCTTCATCACTGTGATTACATAAATATAGTAGATGTATATTACCAAGAGCAAAGCACAAAGATAGAGGAAAATGGACCTGGTATCTTGTAGAGCATAAGGAATATAGTAATAAACACAATTACAGCTTAGCAGCCTCATATTTACCACAAAATGATGAAAATATTTCCTGCTTATCACCACTCACAGACTAAGTTCACAGTACCACAGTTCTTAATGTCAATTTTCTATGTTGGTACAAAGTGCTAATGAAAGGGGAGTACAGGGGGGACTGCCCCCTGTCTTGGGAAGAAGTAGAAAGTAGGAAAGGTTAGGTTTGGATTTACATGATACCTCAGTCTCTGGAGGGTGTATCCCTCTTGGTAACAAATACCACAGATAATGAAAAGAGATATAACACCATTAGTGTAGGTATTGGTACTGGCCAATACCAATGTCAGAGAAATGAGCATCTCAAAGGCATAATGTTTTTGAAAAATGTATGAACTTAATGTGAAATTTTCTTCTTATGATTCATTACTAACAGATTGGGTAACTTTCTAGAATATGTCCACCAAAAAGATCACAACATTTTAAGTATCGTTGGATTCCTCTCACGGTCTGCAATGCAAATATGTAGCTTGTATTTCACGGTTGCCCCTCCAAACCCACATTCTTGGCCCCGATAGCAGGAGAGGACAT